CGACGGACCGGTACAGCGCCCGCTTTACAGCAGACGCTGTGCCAATCTGCCTGTCGATCTCCCGCTCCGTTCTTCCCCCATTTGTGATTATAGAATACGATCCAGTTAAATGAATTTGTTTTGTTACAAAAAGAGTCAGTTAGTTTGAAAAAGCACAAGAAAAAACTGTACARTATTAGTGTTTTATTTTCATGAAGTTAGAGATTACCACAAACTAGTAGTAGTTAACTCCACGAAAGACTAAATCCTCAAACTGAAGYATGACTTCACTCTCATCACAATCCAGCAAATCAGTTAAAATAAAATAAATCACTAAAAGTGTAAATAATTKACTTTAAAAGTAAAAATAGAGAAATGGTTGACTACAGAGACAAAAAGATAAAGGTTTAATATACTGTTTAACCTTTAGGTCCAGATTAATGTTAGTTGAGGGGCTGGTTTTGGCCCGCGGGCCTTCAGTTYGACTTGACTCAGTGTTTGAGTAAATGTTTTATTTCCACCAACCTGATTGTTTGATCCAAACGTCAACGCCTCCAACAAACTAAAGAACGCACCAGGTTCTGGTCCTGAGCTGGACCCACAGTGGCCCAGCTGGACTCAGGGTCCACTTTGGATTTTATCTGGTCTTTATTTAAAGAAGTGTAAAACGACACGTTGAGTAAAATCTTTATTGAGCGATAACTACTGACGACAGGACACAGAACCCCACCAGCACGCCGCGGCGTTTTCATACAAACTGTACAACGTGAAGGAATGTGGTGCAGGATCACATGACCAGAACCAGAACCGGGTCTTACATCCACAGGTTCTGGTTTCCAGTACGAGTCGAAACCTTCGGGGGCGGGTCAGTCTTTTCTTACGTTGAGCGAGCGGATCCAGACAGCGTCGAGGTGTCGGCAGCAGCAGACGGTGCCTGGCTCCTCCTCCTCCGGACTGCACAATGTGATGAAGGACGAACAATAAAATAAATGTCTGTCTGTCACACTGTAGCTTAAGGCCTCATGTCTTAAAGAAGCAGAACCAATACTGGGTTAATGTTTGTGAACATTCAGACCTGTGCAGATGTGTGAGKGGGCGGGGCTAGAGGCGGGGTTAATTCAGATTAAAGACACGTCGATGAGTTTAAACATAAGGCAGCTTTTTTTATACCAACACCCCCCTGTTCACTCTGACGCCCCTTACTGAAAGGGGCGTGGCTACAGAGCAGTTCTGATGGACTGTTGACAAGGCAGGTATCGGTTTAATGAAAAGGCGGGGGGGGGTTCGGCTATAAACAGCTGATTAAGGTGAGAAACGGTCACATGACAACCACCAAGACGTTCTATATAAAAGGCAAAGAAACACTGATTGTACAGTTGCTTTTCACGTCAGAAAGGAAGACACTGTTTTAGGAGGGGGGTCTTCAAGCAGCAGAGGGTGGGAGTGAGGAAGAGGAGCAGGCGATGGACGGATGAGGTGAGGGGGAGGAGTCAGGACAGGATGAAGGCATGAAATGTGAAACCAAAAAGGCAGGAATGGTGGGCGGAGAGGGGGCGGGGTCAAACACAGCTCCTTCAGTCGCTCCAGTCTTTCTTGATGTTCAGGTTCCACTCCCAGGACAGGTGGTCGTGTTTGTCGTCGTCGGTGAACTTGGACTTGATGACGTAGTGCCCACGAGCCAGCATGCCTTTGGGCGCCTCCTCCATCGTGGTCAGGAAGTCGTACTCGGCGGGCCGCGGCCCGTAGCTGCCCACCATGTAGTCCGACTTATCGACTGGCAAAGAGACAGAGACAGGTGAGGACAGGTGAGGGTCGGCCTTCAGGATGTGTGTATGGAGGAGCGTCAGCTACCACCACCTCAGAGCTTCACTCACTTTTCATTCCTTTCCTGAACGTCTGCTGGACGTACTTCAGACCAGAAACAATCTCTCTGTTCACCTGGAGACAAACGGTTCAGATTAAAAACAGGCCTGATAATTATCCATGAATTTATATTGACCTGAACTCACCTTAAAGCTGATCTTTATTTTATATTCTACTCCTTCTTTCAGCACAAACGCCTGCTTTTTAAAAGCTTCCAGGTCTCCTGTTAGAAAAAAACAACAGTTTTTAGTTCTTTATAGTCAGAAACATCATTAATACAACTCACACATAAATAACTTCACTGCTCTGAATGGAAACTATATTATTTAATATAGAAACAAAAATATCAGCCTTGGTTTTTATTTTTATACTTTAGGATAGAATTAAATGTTTATAACACTAATATTTTTATAATTTAATGGAGAAAAAATCTAAAATGTTATAAATTTTAGAACATTTTCAATAAAAATGCAGCAAAAAAAGAACACTTAAATCTGCAGGTGAGTCATTTATAATAATAATAAATAAATAAATCTTTCAGTTTTTTCTTTGAGCCTAAAAGTCCTGTCCTGGTTAATGTCGTACGTCACTGAATTTATAAATTACACGTTAAAGCTCCCGCCACACGAGAGCGAGGCCTCTGACAGAACAGAGACTTTCCAGAGGGTTAGAGACAAACGAGCTGTACTGTCCGTCCTACACCACACACGTTTCTGACAACCTGATTATAAGACCGTGTCTCCTGGAGGCCACAGCCTTGATCCTAGTATTAATACTTGTAGTAGTAGTAATATTTGTAGTACAAGTAATTCCATGACAGCAACAACCTTAACAAACCTCTTATTTCAAATAAGCAAATATAAACTCTTCCCCTGATCAAACTACTGATCTCCAGCTTATTGTGTGTGTGTGTGTGTGTGTGTGTGTGTGTGTGTGTGTGTGTGTG